CGGCTTAACCCGAATGATTATAGTTCTAGTGATAGTGCATGTGTAAAACTAGAACTAGAAACATTCGGGTTTAGTATTAGTTCTAGTTTTACACTAGCACCGTTGCTAGAACCAACACTATACTTAGAACTAGAATCATTTGGGTTTAGCCGCCTTGAGAGACGGGCGGCTAAACCCAAATGTTTCTAGTTCTAGGTCTAATATTAGTTCTAGTGAAAGTGCAAGTGTAAAACTAAAACTGGCACTATACCTAGAACTAAAAATATTCGGGTTTAGCCACACGTCTCTCAAGACGGCTTGACCCGAATGATTCTAGTTCTAGATATAGTGTTAGTTCTAGTTTTAATTGTTATTCAGCGCTTATGCCCGGGATACACGAGGCTAGTTTTGTAAGCTAGGATAGCAAGCTAGATAACTGTCCTGGCTTGGAAGATGCTAGTGCTGTTTACATGATGCCAGTAATTTTAACCCAGCCAAGCCAGCACCACTGCAGATGGTTGACGGTATTGACGGTACAAAACGTCCGTGAAGTAAAATGAACTGCATTCGTAAGAAAAACACAATACGACTGAAACAGTTACTTCGGAAACTATGTCAATTTGCATTAGACGAATTACTAGAAGATGTATTAGAAAAACGTGTATNTGGCAATTAATATAAAACGTCTTTGTCGCATAAGAATGTGCGACATAGGCACTAGAGTTTATGGTATGAGCTGCACAATTATCACACAATAAAACAATCTTAAAACCAAGTCCTCGTTGAGAAATAGTTTGAAAGTTCACGTTTCCGTCACAGATTTTACAATTCACATATTCAGATAGTGCTGCAAACACTAATAAAGTTCAAAATTCGATATTCAACAGACGAATCACGCGGAACAAACATGTCCTCTTGCATGTGTAACTTTTTCGCAGAGGCATTAAAAGTGCTTTCGCCCGTTTCTGCTGTTTTCGGATTAAAAACATTCTTCGGTCTCGACTTTTGCATGTTGGAAGATTTTCTCTTTTCTCTACTGCATTTCATTTTCATGGAACATAACAGAATGTATAAACGAGCGCACGACTTTACTGCTTGGCTTGACCGTCCAAACTGACACTTTTCACTTGTCACTTTGAAATCGTTGAATTTAGCTAACCTAATAAACCATTAATAAACTATTAATAAAAGGGGCCAGGGTCTAGGTATATAGCGGCCGCTCGGATATCTTCTACATGCTCAAACGATCTGAGGCGTCTTTACAAATATGCGTGTAACTTCGAGAATATTTGTTGGATCAACTTGAAATTTTCTGAGTATTACATATTATTAAAAAAGATTTTTTGAAAATTGTAACTGCGTATAACCCCTTAAAAAAATGTTTTACAAGTACGACAATTTTTTAATTTCTTCAGCAACCCTGTTGCTAAATATCCCGTGATATAAGAGTCGATGTTTAATTGAATATAACTTGTTTCTTTAAATTCAATAGGGAAGTCTTCATAAACAATTTCAACACCAATATTCATTTTCACGTTCAAAATATTTAACATGTTTAGAGAGCCTTCACTCTCATCCTCTTCGAAATTTGCATTTGAGGAATAAGAGGAAACAAAATGATTGATTAACTACGTTTTAAATGAATTGGTAAATGCATTGGTTGTTGGATTGACGTTTCGTACACCATGGCTTTGTATGCACCCAAAACAAATTTTCTATGGGATCTTGATTTAAATTCCTAGTACATAAATACTGGAATTTCTCGATATAAACAATTTTCCATATATAAATAAAACCTTGGAGTGTGATAATCCAATTTCCCACAGTTGGAGGTACAAATTCTTTTCCATATCCTTTAAAAAAACGCATGGTTTTAAGAACTTTTATAGCCTCATACCAAAATTGTAGGTTTTGGTGACTGTGCACCTCAGAATTTTTGCAGGATCAGGTTTCAAAATACTTCCATTCACACTATCGAAAAGTAAGTCTACAAACAATAATAAATCAGCAGTGTTTTACAACCATTTAATGATAGCAAATATTAAAAAAAGACTACTTAATTTTGTTGTTTTAAAAAAATTAATAATATACCTAATTTTGCAAATCATCTCATCGTAGACAAAAATCTTTGAACAAAAATTTGAGCTGCATATTTCACTTTCATTTTCTTCATTTCATTTTCATATACAGGTGTTTCATGTACATACGTTAATATGTTACAAATTTGTTCATTTTAAGCAGAAAAGTTACTAAAAACATGTGCTCAATTCTCAAAGGTAACTGAAATACAGCTAGTTAATGCATAAACTGATTTATTTAAATGTGTACATAAAATATCGTTGGCGATTAATTGAAATTGTAGAAATTCTAGCTAATATTATAGAAAATAAAAAAACAGATGCACTTGGAAAGAGCATCAAGATATGCACAAGAGAGCATATCTTGTATTTTAGAAAGCGGCATAGCAAAAGAATTGTCAAACTTTTAATTCAACCGGCACGACAAACCGTACATGGGAACAGCTTCGCAGTAAATACGAAACATTAAAAAAAGATGTCAAGCCATTGCCAAATACCGCACTGATGTAATAGGTACTGGTGGAGGTCCATGTGAAGAAAAGTTAAACCCGTTACATGACAGAACTAGAAATTTGATAAAACTAAGCTGCGATGGAACACCATCACAATTTGACAGTGATTGTTTAGGTTAATTATTTTACCAATTTTATAATATGCATGTTTAATCTTAACTATTAATTCTTTTTAATTCTTTCTTTCTTAACTTTTTTTGGTTAACCGCAACCGTCTAAAAAAATCCGTTTCATCTCACTGCGCCATGTGGTTATGTCGTTCTTTAATTTCTTTTTCTTTTACCTAAAAACATTAACTAAAAATTCGTTTTCGGACTCGCTGCTGGTACTAGTATCGTACAAATTAAATATTTTTCGATATTTATTAAAATGCTAATTGCACAATTTATACAATTGTTATTATTGTCAAAATCAGTTCAAATTTCAAAGAAAGACGTTAGCGTTACCAATCTACGGCACAAATGACTAGATATGGGAAAAAAGTACTACCAACCGAGTCTTATTTAGGCGATAGCAATCCTTCCGACAAAAACAGTTTGTACAACAGCGAATATCTTTATCCTCCCGATAAGTTTATCGACCGGATAGTTATCAGACAGGTTTATCGGTATATTGTACAACCGGCCCTTAGAACTAGAAATATTTGGGTTCAGCCGCCCGTCACTTAAGGCGGCTACACCCAAATGATTCTAATTCTAGGTATAGTGTTAGTTATAGCAACAGTGCTAGTGTAAAACTAATACTAAACCCGAATGTTTCTAGTTTTAGTGTTAGATCTAGTTTTACACTAGCACTGTTGCTAGAATGATTCTAGTTCTAGGTATAGTGTTAGTTCTAGTTTTAATTGTTATTCAGCGCTTAATTATTAAAATTTTTTAACACTAAACCTAAAACTAGAAACATTTGGGTTTAGAGNATATATGTGTTTAACTCTGTTTATGAGAAATGCATGTTTAATCTAAACTATTAATTCTTTTTAATTCTTTCTTTCTTAACTTTTTTTGGTTAACCGCAACCGTCTAAAAAAATCCGTTTCATCTCACTGCTCCATGTGGTTTTGTCGTTCTTTAATTTCTTTTTCTTTTACCTAAGAACATTAACTAAAAATTCGTTTTCGGACTCGCTGCTGGTACTAGTATCGTACAAATTAAATATTTTTCGATATTTATTAAAATGCTAATTGCACAACTTATACAATTGTTATTATTGTCAAAATCAGTTCAAATTTCAAAGAAAGACGTTAGCGTTACCAATCTACGGCACAAATGACTAGATATGGGAAAAAAGTACTACCAACCGAGTCTTATTTAGGCGATAGCAATCCTTCCGACAAAAACAGTTTGTACAACAGCGAATATCTTTATCCTCCCGATAAGTTTATCGACCGGATAGTTATCAGACAGATTTATCGGTATATTGTACAACCGGCCCTNTACCCCTCCCCATCTCCTCCCCGCATCTCCCTACGCTGCCTTGTCGCCACCACCTCCCTCATCCATTCTCTTCCCTCTGCCCCCTCCCCCAGCACCTGCTTCCAGCCGATCACCTCCTCTCTTAGCTCGTCACACTCCCTCAGTAGGTGCTCCAACGACTCCCACTCCCCCCCACATAGCCTACAACCCCTCTCATCATCTCTCATCCAATACCTATTCGCTCTCTCCTCATTGCCGCATCTGAATCTTGCCACCATCCTCTTCCCCTCCTCATCCCCCTCCACCGACAGGTACTTCGGCAATCCCTCCGTTATTATTTCCTCGTACTTAGGGTTGTACCTGCTCTCCCTTATCTGCCCCCTTCTTTCTTGCCTCTGTACATCTCTATCCTTGCTCTCCAGCTCTTTCCACATCTCAATCCCTTCCCTCTTTCTATCATCTACCGCTTTCACTGAGTACCCCACCCTTCTGAAATATTCCTCCCTTCCTCGTTGCCCGTAACCCCCTTTCCCTGCCTTAATCTCTTTCCAGCACTCCCCCAAAATTTTACATTGAGACCTCCCTTCAACCCTCTCCTCAAAACGTACCGGCCTTTTACCCGCCTCCACTCTTAACTTATCAGCCTTCACCTCTTCTCTGACTATGTACTCCGGCGTCTCTTTTGCCAACCCCAAAACCCATCTCCAATACCTAGCCTGTACGCCTTCCATTTTGTTTTAATTTAATAAAGATTTTAATAATTTAACCCTGAATAACAATTAATGTAATGTAAATAATATAAATGATATAATTATTATCAGATAATGTTTCTATTGACAATGAGAAAAATCGAGATTTAAACAGGTTGTTTGGAAAAGTCTTAGGTTCTAATTCTAGCACTTGAAATAAATAAATGAAATTCTCTCTCACTCACGAATAAATGAGTGTCCCAAGTGACAACAACGATTTACTCTTTGGGTTTATAGTTAAAAATAATGAATTAATATTTTTTGTTAAAGTCACCATGGTTAGAATATTTAAACTACGACAAACTTAAAGAAGAACAAACCAATTCATTAAAATCCTGGAGATGTGCGAATTATCGTGAAAAATCAAAAATTAATCTCCCCCATCCAAACCCCGGGGGGCGCGTCGAATCTGCAAATCCACGTGAAAGAATTTTAAAACGCCTCGAATCATACGACACCCCAAAAGAAGCCCCGGCATTAAAAATATCGGCACCTTTAGTACCCACTTTGGATTTAACAAACAAAACGACCATGTTTAAAGGATTAGAACATGTTTTTGCGAACGTTTTACGATTTTCCAGGTAATAAATTCTATTTAAAACTAAAAATTTATTAATTTTTGATTTTATTGAAGAGAGTTCAACTTGAAAGCTTCCGAATACAAAGCTTTAGATTGTAGTTATTTGGAGTTAATCCCCCAAGTTTATATGTCGGTTTTATGTGTTATTAAAAAGCAAGTTACTTGTAATGGAAATAAGAATTCGCGATGTTCTGGCCCTGCTGTAATCACTTTGGAAATTAAAGTAACCCTTTTTTTTAATTTATAATTAATTTGATTAATTTTTTTTAATTAATTAGGAAGCTCGAATTAATGAAAGAGTCCAACACCAAATTGAAACGAACAGAAGTAATTATGATGCTGTTTGCAAAAATTTACTTCAATTACCACCTCAATCACTTTGTTTATCTTCGGTTACTTTAAACCAAACTATAAAGTAAGTTAATTTTCATACTTTAATTTATTTTTATTTAATTAAATTTAAAAATAGATTACTTCGAGTGAAGCTCCAAGAAGATCCTTCATCGTTAGAAATGGGAGTTGAACTTTTTTATCATATTTTAAGCTTGATTAATGATGAAACGAACAGTTATCTTCCAGCCAAACAATTATTTAGTCAATGTGTTGAAGATTTAGGAAGGGTTTGTATTAAAGTATTTGGAAAGTAATTGGAAAATGATATTACTTTCCCTCCTTTCCAATTACTTTATTAATTTATTTAATTGTTTAGTCTCACATTTATGGGAAAGAATTTGAAACTCCCCGATTATTAAACAAGATTTTATCAAATCCCGAATTAAGCGGATTACTAGCCCCGCATTTTTCACCTCAAAATTCAGGGACGGCGAATTTTTTGCTTATGTATTCAACGATTTGTCAAAATATTGATCAAAAATTTGATATAACTTTCGCGTTACTTTCCAAGGTAAATTAACCACTTCATATTATCATAATTAATTAATTTTGTTATATTTAGTTTGATATACCTCATTGGTTACAATCGAAAGATCCGAAACTTTCTCAACGTTCGAATTTTATTGAAATGGTTGTAAAAGCTTTACAAAGTTTGGGTGAAAATCCAAAAACGGAATGTTTAACTTTAGATGATCTTTTAAGAAAGCATTTGTTGTCTATGCTTAATCACGAATTTCCGGAACATTTCGGGGAAATTTTAATGGTTTTATTGAAATCGTCGAATTGTAGTGTTGATACCGGTTATATTTCGATTAAAGTTTGGTTGGATTTTATAAATTATTTAGCGAAACCCGTCGAAATCAATTTATCGATCCCCTTAAAAGATCAAATAAGACAATACGCACCCCAACAAAGATTATTGAGACACACCGAGCTTTTAGAAACGGCTACGTTGCTTTGTAAACATTTCACAGAGGAACGATTTCAATATGGTCTTTATGGTTTGTACCCAAAAACGCGGTATTACGTGGAAGTTTTTATGGCGTTTCATGGAATGATCGGGCACGCTTTGGTTATAAGTACGTTAAATCAACATCCGGGGGTTTTAGGAGATACTTTGTGCGATATTATTTGGCCTTATTTACGCGATATGTTCTCACCTTGGATTTTACCTTATTCGATGCAAAATATGAAAGAAAACATGGCTAATTGGATCAAGCAATTAGCTGATGATCGCTCGATTATATTACCATGGATTCCATCGGATTCCCCATCGGCAATGAAAAGCGTCCATACATTTTTTGAGTGCATCATGTTTGTTATTGAAACTTTACCGGCTTGCGGAAAAATTTTAAGTTTCGTTTGGCATTGGTACTTTACGAATTTTTGCCATTCTTCCGTTAAAGATCACGTTTTAAACGTTATTCATTCATCGTTTTTATTGTTGCCGTGGCAAAACTTTTGGCCAACAATAAGCGACGTTGAATTAATGATGAAAGTATCCGATCAATACTTACCGGATTGCCACATTTTTTTGGGGCACATTTTCGTGCATGTTAATTGGACAGCTTGGCTTACGAGCCTAATGGAATCAGCACCGATTGCAGTCAAAATAAGAACGTATCAGTGCCTTTTAAATCTCCTGGTTAAAATGGCCAACGAACCAAACGTACACAAAAATCACACCGATAAAATTAAAACTTTACTCATCCAAGCCGAAGCTTTCGATTGGACACTAATCGATCACACCATGTATCAAAACGTGCTCGATTGGTACGTGATGAGTTGCGATTCCTTGGTTTTATTCAAAAACGATCCAAACGATTTAGATTTTAAAATCTTACAGTAAATATTTAATTAATTAAGATAATGCTTTGAATTAATTTATTTCGTTTTTAGCTTTTTATACAGCGTGGCTCATTATCAAAAATCGAATCAATCACACGATTCATTCGCGAAACGTCACGTTTATGTGCGATCCTACGTGAAAACGATCGCTTCGTTTGCCTCGAGATATAAAATGTTAATTCCCGCGAGAGAAGATGATTTAAAAGCTTTAATCACCAATCAATTAATGTATTTCCAACGGTATAGGAATCAAGACGAGCTCAATCAATTAATGATCACCTTTATGGAAATTTTAAATATAAACGGGATTAATTCGATTACATTAAAAACTTTCGAAGAGTTTATTATGAATAAATCGAAAGATGCCGTTTTTATTAATAGTGTTTTGCATGGGGTTGGTTTGGGCGTTGTTGATGTTGAGAATTCGTCTCAAATTTATGAAGCTACGTTAGCAACTTATTTTTTAATAGATGGTAACGTTTTTATACAGTGTGCTTCAAAAGTAATCTCTCCCCTATAAGTACGAAGTCTTTCACCGCTGGTGTTAATTACACTAAAAGTAGAACTAACACTAGGCTTAGAATTAGAATCATTTTGGTTTAGCCGTCTTGAGAGACGTGCGGCTACACTCAAATGTTTCTAGTTCTAGATTTAATGTTAGTTTTAGTGACAGTGCAAGTGTAAAACTAAAACCAACACTATACCTAGAACTAGAAACATTCGGGTTTAGCCGTACGTCTCTCAAGACAGCTTAACCCGAATGGCTCTAGTTCTAGGTATCGTGTTAGTTCTATTGACAGTGTAAGTGTAAAACTAACACTATAGTCTTGAGACCCTACCTATCTAGAACTAGAAACATTCGGGTTTAACTGCACGTCTCTCAAGACGGCTTAACCCGAATGATTCTAGTTCTAGGTATAGTGTTAGTTTTAGTGACAGCGCAAGTGTAAAACCCGAATATTTCTAGTTCTAGATATAGTGTTAGTTTTAGTTTTACACGTGCACTGTCTCTAGAACTAATATTAGACCTAAAACTAGAAACATTTGGGTTTAGCCGCCCGTCACTCAAGGCGGCTAAACCCAAATGATTCTAGTTCTAAGTATAGTGTTGGTTCTAGCAACGGTGCTAGTGTAAAACTAGAACTAATACTAATCCGAATGTTTCTAGTTCTAATGTTAGTTCTAGTTTTACACATGCACTATCACTAAAAGTAGAATCATTTGGGTTAAGCCGTCTTGAGAGACGTGCGGCTAAACCCGAATATTTCTAGTTCTAGATATAGTGTTAGTTTTACACTTACACTAGAACTAATATTAGACCTAGAACTAGAAACATTTGGGTTTAGCCGCCCGTCACTTAAGGCGGCTACACCCAAATGATTCTAATTCTAGCTATAGTGTTAGTTCTAGCAACAGTGCTAGTGTAAAACTAATACTAAACCCGAATGTTTCTAGTTTTAGTGTTAGATCTAGTTTTACACTAGCACTGTTGCTAGAATGATTCTAGTTCTAGGTATAGTGTTAGTTCTAGTGACAGCGCAAGTGTAAAACTAGAACTGACACTAGACCTAGAACTAGAACGTTTCTAGTTCTAGGTCTAGTGTTAGTTCTAGTTTTAATTGTTATTCAGCGCTTAATTATTAAAATTTTCTAACACTAAACCTAGAACTAGAAACATTTGGGTTTAGAGTTAGTTCTAGTTTTACACTAGCACTGTTGCTAGAACTAACACTCCACCTAGAACTAGAATCATTTGAGTTTAGCCGTCTTGAGAGACGTGCGACTAAACCCAAATGTTTCTAGTTCTAGGTTTAATGTTAGTTTTAGTGACAGTGCAAGTGTAAAACTAAAACTAACACTATACCTACAACCAGAAACATTCGGGTTTAACTGCACATCTCTCAAGACGGCTTAACCCGAATGATTATAGTTCTAGTGATAGTGCATGTGTAAAACTAGAACTAGAAACATTCGGGTTTAGTATTAGTTCTAGTTTTACACTAGCACCGTTGCTAGAACCAACACTATACTTAGAACTAGAATCATTTGGGTTTAGCCGCCTTGAGAGACGGGCGGCTAAACCCAAATGTTTCTAGTTCTAGGTCTAATATTAGTTCTAGTGAAAGTGCAAGTGTAAAACTAAAACTGGCACTATACCTAGAACTAAAAATATTCGGGTTTAGCCACACGTCTCTCAAGACGGCTTGACCCGAATGATTCTAGTTCTAGATATAGTGTTAGTTCTAGTTTTAATTGTTATTCAGCGCTTATGCCCGGGATACACGAGGCTAGTTTTGTAAGCTAGGATAGCAAGCTAGATAACTGTCCTGGCTTGGAAGATGCTAGTGCTGTTTACATGATGCCAGTAATTTTAACCCAGCCAAGCCAGCACCACTGCAGATGGTTGACGGTATTGACGGTACAAAACGTCCGTGAAGTAAAATGAACTGCATTCGTAAGAAAAACACAATACGACTGAAACAGTTACTTCGGAAACTATGTCAATTTGCATTAGACGAATTACTAGAAGATGTATTAGAAAAACGTGTATGGACAAGACCATGGCTTTTAAGAAGGAATGAACGTGGATCATCTGCTTTACTTTTAAAAGAACTTTGCAATAACGATATAGGCGAGTACAAGAGTATTTTGCGAATGACCTCATATATGTTTGATATTCTGTTGAGTCTTGTGACGCCAAAAATACAAGGAATGGATACAATAATGAGACAGGCGTAATTCGCCACACATTTTTTGTAGTGCTGAATCTCGCATAGATTTGTCTTTATAAGACGGAATGGTAGCGTTCCATAGACATTCCTTCTCACGGTACCATTGTACAAACTTTAAATTTATTTCGTTACTTAGTTTCGGCATCTCGTTGCAGAAACATACGTAGTTGCAGTCAGACAAACAAAACCGCGTGGACACTGCGCACTAGCCGAACGGATACTAGCTTCCCCGACCACACGAAGCTAAACCGAAGCCAGCACAGCAAAATCAGTGGTGGGGGAAGCTTACTAGCTTTAAAAATAGACCGGCAAGCTATTAAACTATCCTGGCTTCAGACACTAGCTTACTAGCCTGGAATAAAGCTAGTTTTGTATACACGAAGATAGATGCACTAGCTTGCTAGCTTACTAGCACTAGCTTGCTATCCTAGCTTACAAAACTAGCCTCGTGTATCCCGGGCATTAATTATTAAAATTTTTTAACACTAAACCTAGAACTAGAAACATTTGGGTTTAGAGTTAGTTCTAGTTTTACACTAGCACTGTTGCTAGAACTAACACTCTACCTAGAACTAGAATCATTTGAGTTTAGCCGTCTTGAGAGAACCCAAATGTTTCTAGTTCTAGGTTTAATGTTAGTTTTAGTAACAGTGCAAGTGTAAAACTAAAAGTAACACTATACCTACAACTAGAAACATTCGGGTTTAACTGCACATCTCTCAAGACAGCTTAACCCGAATGATTATAGTTCTAGGTATAGTGTTAGTTTTAGTGACAGTGTAAGCGTAAAACTAGAACTAACACTACACCTAGAACTAAAAACATTTGGGTTTAGAGTTATGGTGGGTTTAGGATATCAAACTTAACGGCTGTAGCCGTAACCTTAGCCGTAGCTGTAGCAGTAAGAAAAGTTAAACCAATGTGTTTCAATAGCACCGTTTAGGGAACCGCTTAAGGCTACGGCCGATGTAGCCGTAACACCTAAAGTTGACCAACTTTTAACTTCTTACGTTTAGGACAAAATTTGAAGAAATAATATACAATTATTACTTAATAAAAGTAACAAAATATAAAAAATTATTGAAAAGGATTTATTGTCCAGTTCTTGACACATACTTCAATTGCCAAGGAATTGCACTTTCATTATTGAAATACTGGCACAATAAGTTTCGATTTTCCATGCATTTTCTTGAAGAATTGTTGCTCCCTAATCGTTGTACACCTTCTAGCGGAAATGATTCTGAACGCCATTGTCCTTCGATTATTTCCCCATTTGCCCCAATTTGATTGCCATAACCAGGTGAACAGTAATATCCCCCATTCCTATATTTGCGTAGATAATTGTGAAGAACAACAGTAGCTTGAACAATTTGCTCAACTATTTCAGTTGAAGCTACTATAGTTCCTCTTAATATGCGCCATCTCTGACATAAAATTCCAAAGGCATTCTCAACTGTTCTTCTTGCTCTAGAGAGCCTATAATTAAAGATATTTTTATCAATGCCTAAATATCGGCCTGGATATGGGCGCACTATATTTTCCTACAATGGAAATGCAGCATTCCCTATCACAAAATGTGGGAGTATGGTGTTACTACCTGGAAGTTTCTTCGGTGGCGGAATGGGGAGTGTTCCATTAAGAAGTGCTTTGCCAAAACAGCTTTCTCTTAGCACTAAGTCTATGCACCAATGTCTATTGTGATAAAATTGTATTCAGCATCAACTGCTGCCATTAGAATGATGCTAAAACTATTTTTATAATTATAAAATTCACTTCCAGACTTGTTTGGTGCTTGAATACGAATATGTTTTCCGTCTATTGCACCAATGCAATTCTGATGTTGCCATCTTTGGGAAAAAGCTCTTTCAATTTTGTAAAAATCCTCTCTTTCGGGCGTTGGCATTACTTTTGGCTGTAAAATATGCCAGAGAGCAGCTGTTGTGTCCTTAACTACAATATGTACAGTAGCTTTTCCTACACGATAATTCCATGCCATCTTCTGCATTGAGCAGTCTTCAGCTAGATAACTACAAACCAAACAAAATAAATAAATGAAACATGCAATTATAATATATTATAATATGTTAGGAGCACACATTTCAATAACGCATACTTACTGCAAAGTAATTATCAGACGGTGAGCCGGAGACAAAGCTTTAATAATTATTAATTTTTTTTCGATCCATGATAATACACAGCGAGGTAATAAAACACGATGATAATACACAACAATACCACAGCACCAGTGGAACTTTTTCTGACACTTGTATATATTACAACAACTATAGTTGTTGATATTACAGTTTTCGATTGTTTTACGTTGTTTTTTTAACCAACGTATTTCATTAATTTATTATCCATTTTTTGCTATACACAAAATAAAATAATCAATATACTTATTGGAAACTTTTAAAATCTTAAAGTTGCTTCCTAAACGGGTCAGCTGTAAGCTTTAAGTTCTTTACTGTTACGGTTACGACTACTGCTACGGTAACGGTTACGTTTGATATCCTAAACCAGCCATTAGTTCTAGTTTTACACTAGCACTGTTGCTAGAACTAACATTGTACCTAGAACTAGAATCATTTGAGTTTAGCCGTCTTGAGAGACGTGCAGCTAAACCCAAATGTTTCTAGTTCTATTTTTAATGTTAGTTTTAGTGACAGCGCAAATGTAATACTAAAACTAACACTATACCTAGAATTAGAAACATTCGGGTTTAGCCGTACGTCTCTCAAAACGGCTTAACCAAATCTATCCAGGGAAAAATACGGCGTTGTTTTTTTCGAGAATAGAACGAAGAAACATCCTCTATTAAAAAATACAATATAGAGAATATTCCGTTTAAAAAAACTATATTAATTTTCTAAAAAAATGAAACAGAAGGGGTTACTTTTGATACACGAACTGTATTTATTTTTGTAACTTTATTTTAATAGTTTCTTTTTAGTTTCTGAAAGCAAACCTCTTTCTTGGTCTAACATAACAAAAATTATAACGTTTAATTTAAATAAATCGACCGAATTAGAGCGAGTTTTAATCCAAAATGGGTGCATCTTAACCTTGCACGCTTACATTTTACAAAAAATCGAAAAAGTTTTGGATTACAAACATTTACTCAGCGTCTCTTTGGATTGGATAAGTTCAATTAAAATGAGGGAAAATTTAGAGCCAAAAATCCCGTTGTTATGGCACGATATCTTAACGATGGCCGTTGATTATAGTGAAATCGATGAACCGTGTTGTCGCAGCCTTTTATATCGGTTCTCGCAAATTCTATTAACAGCGGCTGAAGATAAGGAAGGTTCTAAATGGGGGAGAAACATTTTGGGGGCTATTGGAATTGTTAAACCCGCTGTTAGTGTTCAGTAAGTTCACACAAAACTGTTAGTTAATTAAATTATTTTCGGTAATAACAAATTTTTTTAGATACAAATTTTTATGCCGAGCTTTAGCTGGATATATTTTGGCCCAATTACCCGATAACAAAGGAAATAACATCCAAACGATAAGAAAATCGGCGAATTCCCCCGGCACGGTTGGCCAACCCGGCGGAAATAGCGAGTGTCCCAAAATTTTATTAAAATTAGATTTCGGGTACACCCAAGGCAAAATTAAAGAGTGCGCGGAATTAGCCTTAAAAGAAACTCAAAATCCAAATAATTCCTTGCATAACGTGTCTGTGTTTTTAATAAATCTATTGAATCAATTTTATATTAAATCGTATTTGCGTGATATTGGATAAAAAAAATTAAAATTATATTATTAGTTGAAAAATAAAATGTTTATACACCTTAAATATATTTTTAAAATAATTCTTTTTTTCCCCAATATTACATTTCCCTCCCCAACATAGATAATTGCTTTAAAAATTGTTTTCCGTTATTCAACGTTGAACAACCATAAACGATTCGCTTCACGTTTCCAGAGATACTTTTTTGTTTTGCGTAATCCACCAAATTTTGATATTCAATATAATTTCCACCTCCAACAATAAAAACGATCGCGTCTTGAAATGGGGAGCGATTTCTTGGAATATCCGTTAAACGTAATTGTTTTGGATCCAAATAATGATACTCATCCATTTCGGAACTACTTTTAAATTCCATTAAAAGATCCACTATTTTTGTAACGGGTAAATTCTACAACAAAATCATTTTTATTTAACTCATGCCTAAAAATGCTTGCCTGCAACCGTTCAATCAAAAAAATTTGCAGTAAACTTTGTTCTAATCACTGAGCATACAAATGCCCTAATGGTATTGGCAATAAGTGGTTCTAACAAGATGGCGCTCCTCTACATTTTAAGCCCAAGACTTTTTAAGCCGCACGTTTCCAAACCGTTGGATTGGTAGATGAGATGAAATTTACCACGATTTCCTGATTTAACACCACTCGATTTTTTTTTTTGGGGTTTCTAAAAAGTAGAGTGTATGCAACAAAACTTATTATGAGTTGACGCGATCTGAGGATAGTTATTAAACTATAAGTTTAGTCATTGGAGAAGATATGACGAAGAGCAACCCCAACCATTTCGTTTACTCCATGATGAGCGGATGTTGAAGAATACATATATAAATGAATTTCATTTGATATCATAGCGAAATCAGCCATTGCATTTAAATCTGCACATGCGCCCAGAATAGCACCTTGAAAGAAGAGGTATTACCGAATTACAACCGATACTGCTCCAAATCCTATCTGTTGATATAATTCTGGTAACGAAATTTACAGATTATTAATTTACCGATAGTAGACTATCACAAATTTTTTTCGTCTTATATTTTTTGATAAAAAAATTCATAAAGTGACGGTAATTTACGGCAACTCAAAAATCGTTTTTTTTTATGATTAACTCGCTATAAAAAAAGAACTGAGGAGCTAAAAATTTTCAAATTCACGTTAATATAGTAGAAATGATCGGTGATTATAACAAAGTTTTCTGCAAATTTTTTCATTGAACAGTTGTCGTGATATTCATCCCCAAAGTGCATATACAGGGGGTGTGTCAAATGTCTGGAATTTAGCGAATAACTTCGTAATTTGTGGTTTTAAAGAAAAATGTTTTAAATACAAGTTACTTTATTAATCGTTGCGCATTTTTTGGTGGTATTTGCTTGTTTGTATTGTTTTTTGTTTCGTTGCCATGGCAACCAACATTGTTATTTTAAATGGGATGCATAATATTCTTTTTGCATACGTTGATAGAGGATAAATCCCTCTATGCGATAAACATATCAAATCATATGGTTGTAAAAGAAAGAAAATCTAGAAAAAATACGTTTTCTGAAAATATTAAGTCAGCAAATTACAATCAAAGTAAGCGCCGAAATAACGCCGTTGACAGCTTTAAATGTCAAAAAAATGACAGTTTCAACAATTATGAATAATTAATAATGTATGGGTACGGTGACACATTTTATGTAGTTTCGTCATTGGTAGCTGTCTTCAGCCGTCTACTTTTTGGAAGGTTTTTAACACTTCCGATGTTATAAATTTTTTTAAGTATGTTGGATACTGTGGATTGTGTAATTTGTGTATCCGTGTAAATATTATTGAACAGTGTACAAACTTCACCTTGAGTGCGTTATCTATCACCACACCGATACACAGTGATGGGCGCTGGGTACCTACCCGGCGGGTAGGTATTTCTAAAATGGGTATTTATCCGGGTATTCACCCCGGCCTAGGGTAAATCGGCCCGGGCCAAACAGTGTGTGTAAAAGTGATACCAGTGAAAATATATCCAAACAAGATCCAAGATTCCAAAAAAAAAAAAATGAAAGATGATGAAATGGACGTTGAAGACATGGAATTGTCAACAATCAAAGACGTATCTGTCGTAATTTAGATTAGATCAAGTTATTATAATTATTATCATCAAGCAACCCTCTGCGTCCATTGTTGGACATAGATTCTATTCCTCCTATTCTGTTCCATTCAATTCTGTTCTGTGCTGTCTGAATCCAATTGTTGGTCATTCTTTTGACGTCTACTTCGTCTGTTCGCTCGCGGTCTCCACTCAAGCAACCGTTTTGTCCACTGCTCATTCTTCATTCGCGCGACATAACCCGCCTAGTTCCACATAAGCTTTGCCACAATGTTGACCACATCATTTACGCCAATTCTTCACAGGTCTTTATTTCGTATGTACTCCCTCATAGTTACACCCAGGATCGACCTCTCCATCTAACTTAGCTAACTTAGCATTGCTTGAAAGCTTTTCATGGCCTTTTCTCTTGAAGATGCCTCTAAGTTTCCCGTAGGCCCATACGAGTGTGATCCTTCGGTTTAGTTCGCTTGTTTATCTCTCGATCACGAACCTCATAACCAAGATATACATAACTGTCAACCCTCTCACTCTCATTATCCCCAATGTTGATGTTAGAGCTGGAAACAAGATTTGTTATAAATTTTGATTTCTCCCCGTTGATATTTAGCCCGACTCTTCCTTTAACTCGTTCAGCATTAGTTTAATCTCTCCAAGGCTATCCGAAATAAGAAGAAAGACATCGTCCGCGTAGCGCAAATTACTTAGGCATTTGCCATCAATGTTTACGCCTTTTTGGGTCCAATCTAGTTGTTTAAGTGCACTCTCCAAGACTATGATAAACAATTTGGGTTCAACAGTGTATCGCCATGTTTTATTCACAATCAGTACTTTACTACTTCTACTATCTTCAGTACTTTTATGCAATTTTACTGTTATTGTAGCATTCTTGTAGATGTTATAAATAAGTGCTCGCAAAACTCAATTTAAATTAAACTTTATAAATACCTCTAAATACGCATCTTTGGTGGCCGTTTAGCCAGCGGCATGTCGGATCTCACAACAGAGCTTCACCTTGATTGTGCATTTCCCGTGAACATGACTGTACATATCCCGGGGTATATATCCAGGAAATGTATCCTTGAAAATAAATACCCGGGTATTTAACAATACTGCCCATACATCAGTAATATTTGGATTCTTTGTCGTTCGCTTAAATGCGCCATATTTGTTTAAACTATCAATTTTTTGACATTTAACGGCGTTATTTCGGCGCCTACTTTGATTGTATTTGCTGATTTAATATTTTCAGAGAACGCATTTTTTCTCAATTTTTTTCTTATTGAACCATATGATTTGATATGTTCAACGCGTAGAAGGATTTATCTTCTACCAAAATATGCAAAAAAACATATGCATTCCATTTAACCCTTTGTGTCCCAAGAAGTCAAACATTTTGAAACTTTGTGACAGAATCAGACAGAATTAAAACGCTATCAAAATACACTCAGTAAAGGCCTTTGGAATAAAATTTTAGCAAAATATGCAATCCCCCTATTTTCGCATAGTCTAAGTGTCAAAAAAGATG